TCATTCATTCATTCATTCATTCAGTAACGAAGCAAAATGCTGTAGTTATGAATGGGTTATTAATCACTGACTCTCCGAATCGTTCAAAGCCGCAGATTTGTTCACTAACTAAACACCACTTGCTTGGAGACGCACACCACATGATACGGATTTCGTTGGAACTATTATTATTTCGATGCAAAATATAACAAACATGACAATATTCTGTTTAAAATGTAGGCTACATTTAAAATGTAAAATGTTCACTTAATATTACCTTTTTTTGTTGATCTGTTGTAAAAATGTATGTCACATTTGCCATCATTTGGATATTCAGGGAAATTTGCATTCTTGCTCGAATGCAAATTTGCCTTTATCGTTATAGCTGTGGTGTGAACTCTGCTATTCTTTAATATTGAGAACGATTTTTAGAACTATATCTTTATTGTTACAGTATCTTTATAGTTATTGTCCTTGATGTAAACAGGTCTTTCCTCTAGTCTACTCTACTCTACTTCTCTATTGTGTTACTCTGCATGACCCTACGTTTCTTTGAATATCATAAAACCATCTACCTGTTCTATCCTCCTCACACTATTTGCTCCTCATGTGTTATTTAATTATAGGCTTCTTTGTCTTCCTATATTTCATATTTATGTTTATATCTTTTTTCAGTCTTTGAACAGCAGCGTGATTTGCTAAAGCAGCATATTCAGCGGGCATCCCATCACATGCACGCTGCTTGTGTTGATGCAGTCCATTTTGACCGCAAAAGATGAGGTAAGCTGATTGGATATCGTGTATTTGACCATTTACGGCACTCCCATTTTCCTGTTTTTACATTAGAAGCAGCATTTTACTTGTCAGAAAGACATGTTCGGTTTTAATGTTATTTAAGTTGGGGTAGAATTAAATGAATGCCAAAACTCAGAATTTTGTTTGCGTACCCCCTCCGTCACCTCACATACCCCAGTTTGAGAACCACTGAAAATAATTCACATGCATATCATGTATTTTGCATTACTTCATCACGTCTCACCTCAGTGTCTTGAGTTGAGAGTTTGGATCCTGTAGTAAATCACTGAGCTGCTTCACTCCTGATGCTCCAGGATCATTTCCTGTGAGATCCAGCTCTATCAGGTGTGAAGGGTTTGATCTCAGAGCTGAAGACAGAGCTTTATAACCTTCTCCAGTGATACTGCAGTCTGAAAGTCTATTTAAGAAAGGTTTATTATATTCAAAGTTACATAATTAATATTACTACAAAAAGGTTTAATATATTTCTTCTTCTGATTGGCGAAGAAAGAAAAAAACATTTCACCATCTGACAGGAGCATGTCTTTCCTTTTTTTTCTTTTTTTTTTAGATTACTACAATAATATTTTAATTGTGATCCAAAGAGAATGTTATTATTAAAACCAAACGATGGTTCATTACATTCACCTGAGTTTCTCCAATGTGCATTTTGTATTTTCTAATCCGTTCTGGAGTTTCTTCACTCCTGAATCCTGCAGATTATTGTTGCTGATGTCAAGCTCTTTCAGACTGGAGTTTGATCTCAGGACTGTAGCGAGAGATGAACAGCTTTCCTCTGTTAGACCACAATCACACAGCCTAAAATGATGAACATGAGAGGGGCAATTTGAAGAGTTTGTTTCCAAAACGTGATAAACGTTTTTTTTTTTTTTTTATTAAGTTTCCGCCAAAATCAGTATTGTATCTGGTTGGTATTGAAAAGTCAATTTTTTATTTTACATAAAATGCGATATCCGCCTTGTTATTCTGTCATGTTTTCTCCCTCTTTTTCCAAACCGCGACAAACGCCAGTCTCCCTTCTCTGCAGAATGCGATATATCTGCTCAACCAATCACAGCGCACCATTCCACACACTCTAGACAGTAACGGCGGCGCTTTGAATACACCCGGCATTCTAATTTTCCTCATCTACTTTGTACTTTGTGATCAACAAACAAACTTAGGGCTGCATCTCGTCAGTAAAGCCAGTTCTGTGATTAATAGTAAATCTCCATCAAGTGCTTTCAGATGGAGCGACATTTAATACACAGAGGCGTAGATCACTGACAATCTACACAATATCACATTCATAATCGCAGATGAATCGCATTCGATTATGAACGCGATATTGTGTAGCGTGTCAGTGAACTACGGTTTATTAATGCCATTAATGTTTTTGTTAATACAGCGTATAGCACTAGTTAACTAAATGAATGTAACATGGCAAAGATTAATGCACTTTTGGAAGTTGAATGTAAGGGAAATGTCATTTTGGAATTTCTGTGGTTGTGATTAATAGTAAATCTCCATCAAGTGCTTTCAGATGGAGCGACATTTAATACACAGAGGCGTAGATCACTGACAATCTACACAATATCACATTCATAATCGCAGATGAATCGCATTCGATTATGAACGCGATATTGTGTAGCGTGTCAGTGTAAGTGTTTTTATTAATGCCATTAATGTTTTTGTTAATACAGCGTATAGCACTAGTTAACTAAATGAATGTAACATGGCAAAGATGAATGCACTTTTGGAAGTTGAATGTAAGGGAAATTTCATTTTGGAATTTCTGTGGTCTAATGTGATGTTGTTCATGTTCTTGTTCATGATTCAATTTTATTTTAATGTTGTAATTAATTTATAGCATTAAAAAGATGACCCGTTGAATTCATTTTGGGAGCGATGATGACTGATGAATGTATTTTTAGTCCAGTGCCTGTAGCCTATATAAGATTAGTATTGACCAAGTTCTGAGGCTGTCATATGTGGATCAACTTACTTTGTTGTGTATTTTCAACAGTTTCAATATGAAAAAATAACTTTTATATTGATTCAATGGATTTACTGCATTTTGAAAACAAACAAAAAAAAACTGTCATGGATTTATTGCATTTTGGGGGGAAAAATTATCCGTTTTTATAATAAATCTTTGAAAATCAAAATCTGAATTATAATTGTTTATGTTATTATAACCTAAATATGCTATGTGAAAGTTTGAAACAGAAAATAGTGGTTTTCATCTTGCCACTTTCTTGGTAAAGAAAACACATTTTTACTCAAATTAATCAAAATGGATTTATAGCATTTTGGAACCAAACTCTTCATTTACAAATACAAAGTATGGTAACACTTTACAATAAAGTTCCGTTAGTTAATGTATTAACAATGAGCAATGAACAATACATTTATTACAGTATTTATTAATCTTTGACAATGTTAGTTAATGAAAATAGAGCTGTTCACTGTTAGGTTATGTTAATTCACAGAGCATTAACTAATGTTAACAAGCACAACTTTTGATTTTAATAATGCGTTAGTAAAGGTTGAAATTAACATGAGCTAAGATGAATAAATACAAAAGTATTGTTCATTCTTAGTTCATGTTAACTAAAGTAGTTAACTAATGTTAACTAATGAATCTTATTGTAAAGTGTTACCCAAAGTACTTGATTCAAACATTAAACAAATACTAAAGATTATGTAAAATGTAACATTCAGCTGATTACTGAGCTATTCTAGAACTTACCTCTACAATAACAATCCATGAAGTGAATTATTTTTGTTCCTTGTCAGTTTACTGTGCAATTTACTGTACAACTGAATCCAAAAGACCTAGACCTAGAGACCTTTAATATTTTACACATCAGCTCACCTGAGAGCCTTCAGTTTACAGTTACTGAAAGAACTGAGAAATTACATTTCCCTTGATCTTTTGACATGTAACAGGTCAACGTACTATAAAAACAGCCTGTAAGTTTCAGAACTCAAAACGTTCCTCTTAGTTCAAAAACAGCTTTTATTGAAACCAAACTCAGAAAACGACTCGTTTTGGAATGTCACATTATGATAGTCTGCTGAAGATCAACGCCTGTTTCTATATTATTACCTCTTTAGCCCCGACCACTGATTCACACATGTAATAGGACGAGAGGAAATACTAGAGAGAGGCAAATACAGGATTACTCCATCAACAAAACCATAGAGATGCCTCCGAGGATTACAAGATGCTGTGTAGTGTAAGTTGTGAAAAAACACAGTCTTTGCATTGCCTTCCTTGTGATCCTTACATCATATCTAAACCAGTCACGAACATTGTGGCATCGTGAATCCATTTCTCTTTCATGTCAGAAGCAGCGCCAGCACTTGGAGCATGTCAGAAATAGAACGGGACATCAGTTTACTCTCAGAGATTTGTCATGCCAATCTGTTCCACATCCAGTGTAGTCGTATGTCGGGCCGCAAGGGTGGCTTTGCTACTGTTATTAAAGACACCTTACACTGTCGTTCTCTATCTACTGGCTCATATAACAGTTTTGAGGTGCAACTTTTTTCTTAGTAAACCCCATCACTATAGCTCTAATATATCGTCCTCCTCACCATAAGGACATTCTAAGTGAACTTGAGTGAAACGCAGCTGCTAGACTACTCTCTGGCATCCGCAAGTATGAGCAAGTAACTCCTATTTTATCTGCACTGCACACCTATGAAATATAGAATTGATTTAAAAAAATTATGTTATTTGTTTATAAAGCCCTCAATAATTGGCCTCTCAGTACTAGGGATGCAGCGATTAACTGGTTTCACGATTAACCACGCTTTAAACTGTCACGGTTAATAAATCGTAAAGGCTCCGCTACACCGAGTGTTTCTGTTGCACGGAACGGAACTGTTGCAACTTGCGCAAAACAAAAACAAAGTTACACTAGTGGTGCACCAGCTTAAAATGCTGTGCTTATCAGAGACACGGAGGCTACTACACACACTACAATAACTATGACAGAGGGACCAAACAGCGAAGCTTATTTCCACCAGAGAAATGCCCAAAGTCCATAGTGTGGGAGCATTTTGGGTACACCAAGAATGACCAGGGCGTCATTTAAAGGGGTCATATGCCGTTGCTAAAAATAACATTATTTTATGTATTTGGTGTAATGCAATGTGTTTATGCGGTTTAAGGTTCAAAAAACACATTATTTTCCACATACCGCACATTGTTGGTCCTCTCTGCCCTGCCTTTCTGAAACGCATCGATTTTTACAAAGCTCATCGGTCTGAGAAGCGAGGTGTGCTCTGATTGGCCAGCTATCCAGTGCGTTGGTTTTGGCCGAATACCTCAAGTGTGTGACGGAAATGTTACACCCCTTACCATATTGTTATGCCGTGTCCCGGCGCGACGAGACAAAAACAATAAAGCCCATTATAAACAAGGTATTTGTTGCATCCAGTGGGGACATAATTACTGAATATAATGATTTATACTGTCTTTTTACGTGTCACGTTGCATTAAACATTAAACATGGTAAACATTACCATGTCTGCATTTGTGATCGGAGAAATGACAAACAACAAGCGCTACTCTACACTGTTCAAAACTCGCGTTTGAATCATCAATGGCAAATTCTTTAATATAAAAAACATACTTACAGTCTGTGAGTCAGAAAAGCCGGCATTGTAGTCTACTCTCCCAGGATCAGGAAACA